AAGAACAAAAAAGGTATGTATTGGGGCCCATGAGAGTTAAGGGATTTAACAACTTGCCTACTGGGCACTTTTACCACCTTCATGCCCAGGCCAATTTTCAGCTTTCAGTGCTATCGCACTTTGTTGCATGGCTTGTCATTCGCTGTATCCATATGAAATTTTTATAATTTTTTTTTCACACAAATACAGCTTTCTTTTGGCGATATTTAAAATCACCACTGGGTGTTTTATTTTTTGCACTATAAAAAAAAATATTAAAATAATTAATTTAATAAATATTAAAAAGCAAAAAATTTGGGGAAAAAAACGGTTTCTATTATAAAATTTTGCAAACAGGTAATTTTTCTCCTTCACGTATGTGTGTTGATGAGGCTGCACTGATTAGGCGGCACTGGTGGGCATTGATGAGGAGGCACTGATATGCAGCAATGATGGTCACTGATAGGCAGCACTGCTGGGCACAGATGGGAGCAACTGCTTGTACAGCACTGATGGGGGCACAGCAAGGCCGTGATGATCAGTACCGATCTGTTCCTGTGACAGCGTGCAGAAAGTGCTGCCGATAACCGGCAACTGTATTTACTCCGTGATCTGCTGTCATTGGACACAGCTGAACACGTGGCAAAAGGCCGATGTGATTGGCCTTTTACTTCATCACGTGATCAGCTGTGTCCATAGGATACGGAGATCATTGAGATCGTCAGGTGCACGCTGCTAGGGGCGTGCGGGAGGATGTCATATGATGCCCTCCCAGAACTGGACAACTGCGCTGTAGCAGTCATTCGTTAGCAAGTGGTTAAAGTGGAAAAAAAAAAAAAAAACACAACTAAGGAGGAAGCTGTTAACTGTAGCAGAGAAACATCAGACTCTGCAGACTGGCAGGTCTTTGTAAATCGGACCAAACAAATCAAAATCATTTAGTAGTAGGTAAAAAACAGTTCACATACAGTGTCACCATTTTTATAGGTACAGATATTTCTAAAGGTGCTATGAATATAAAATTTTCACTACATGTCAGTAACAACCCATGCAATCCATACAAGGAAACCGAAACAAGTACAGAAATTAAGTTATCTGTAATAATATGGAATGACACAAAGAAAAAAAAAAAAAAAAAAAGTATTGAACACCTGAAAAAAGGGGAGGTGCAAAAAGACATGGAAAGCCAAGACACCAGCTGAAATCTATCAGTAATTAGAAAGCAATCCTGCCCTTTGTCAGTTCAAATTAATATCAGCTGGTTCAGTCTCAACTGATGGCCTATAAAAAGGTTTCTTATTACCAAGGTGTCACATAAGAAACATCTCATGATGGGTAAAAGCAATGAGCTCTCTCAAGACCTTTGCAACCTTCTGTTGCAAAACATACTGATGGCATTGGTTACAGAAAGATTTCTAAACTTCTAAAAGGTTCCAGTAAGCACTGTTGGGGCCATAATCCAGAAGTGGAAACAAACACTTCTCCATAAATCAACCACAACTAGATGCACCTTGCAAGATGACAAAAGAGTGAAAAGAATTATCAGAAGAGTTGTCCAAAGGCCACTTGTGGCAAGCTTCAGAAAGACCTGGAATTAGCAGGTACAATTTTTTTTAAAGAAAACAAGTATTGCACTCAACCGATATGGTCTGTATGCACACTCACCATGCAAGACTCCATTACTGAAGAAAAAGAATGTTGCAGCTCTTTTGAAGTTCTCTGCCCAACATTTAGACAAGCTTGTGAACTACTGGGAAAATATAGTTTGGTCAGATGAGACCAAAATTGAACTCTTTGGATGCCATAATACACACCATCTTTGGAGGTCAAATTGCACTGCATATCGCCCCAAAAGCACCATACCAACAGTGACGTTGGAGGTGGGAACATCATGGTGCGAGGCTGTTTTTCAGCATACGGGACTGGCAAACGTTATGTAATTGAAGGAAAGATGAATGGAAAGATGTACCAAGACATTCTTGATAAAAATCTGCAATCTACCAAATTGATGATGAATTAAGGGTGGACATTTCAGCAAGACAAATGATCCCAAAACACAAAAGCCGAGGAAACTCAAGTGGTTTCAAAGAAAGAAAATAAAGCTGCTAGAATGGCCCAGCCAACCACCTGACTTGAATCCAATAGAAAATCTATGGAAAGAACTAAAGATCAGAGTTCCTAGAATAAGCCCACGGACCCTTCAAGATTTGAAGACTGGTTGTGTGGAAGAATGGGCCAAAATCACACCTGAGCAATGCATGCAACTAGTGTTTCCATACATGAGGCTTCTTTTCTCATGACCATCCTTACTCCACAAGGCGAAAGTTTGCATGGAGCTCCTGACCGAGGACGATTGGTTATTTTGTATTTCTTCCATTTGTGAATAATCGCTCCAACAGTTTTCTCCTTCTCACCAAGCTTCTTGCTTTTGGTCTTGTAGCCCATTGCAGCCTTATGCAGGTCTACAATCTTGTCCCCTGATGTCCTTTGACAGCTCTTTGGTCTTGCTCATGGTGGTGAGGTTTGAATGAAAAAGATTCTGTGGACAGGTGTCTCATATAGGAGTTGTCGTTAGGAGCACCTTCTTAAATCTGTGTATCACATAGCCAGTCTGTAGGAGCCAGAATTCTTGTTGGTTGGTACTTCTTTTACTCACTGAACTGCAACTCAATTTACAATATTTGTATCGTGTTTTTTTCTGGATTTTTGGTTGATATTATGTTTCTATCATTTAAAATACATATATGATAAAAATTATAGACCCTTCATTTCTTTGTAAGTGGGCAAACTGTGTATTTAGCTTTCTTAAAGCAAGTTTAGCTTTAAGTCTCCCCGGAGGTAGATTAAACTTAAAAATTACTCTCAAGTTAAGGAATATATTAAATAGTAATCATAAATGAAAATGCTTGTATAAATAAACAAGCAAAATCCCATAATTAAAAGCTTGGGCAAGTGTGCTACAGCAGAAAAAAATTCAGTGTAAAAAGGAACCAGCATAAGTATTTGATGCCCAATTCCCACTGTGTGCAGTGACTGCTCTATTTGCTTAACCTCTTGGTCTTTTCTGGCACTTTGTGTACATGTAACAATCAGTAATTCTTGCTAGAAAAATTTCTTAGAATCCCCAAACCTAAATTTTTTTTAAAGCAGGGGCCCTAAAGAACAAAAATTGCAAGGTTTTGCAATTTTTTTATGTTACACTATTTGCACAGCGGTTTTTCAAATGCAATATTTTGTGGAAAAATACATGAATGGGAAAAACAAAAAACAAAAAACAAAAAAAAAAAAACACATAACCCAATTTTTTTTTGGTAACATAAAAGATGACGCTTTTCCAAATAAACAGATCTCAAAACATGTCCGGTTTTAAAATTGCGCATGATTGTGCAACAACGTAAATGTTTCTATCAATAGGTGGTGCTTTAAGAGCCTTTACAGGTTACCACTTTAGATTTACAGAGAATGCATGGTGCTAGAATTACTGCCCATGTGACATTCGCCATGATACCTCACATGTGTGGGACCGAAATGTGCATTCACCTTTGCGCGCAGGCATATGGGGACAAGGGCACTTTAATTTTATTTTAACTGTTGCTTTACTTTTTTTTTTTTTTTTTTTTTAATCACTTTTCCCTGTCACAAAGAATGTAAACATCTCTTGTGACAGCAACAGGCATTTGATTGGTACATGTGGGGGGGTTGGGAGACCTCTCCCCCACATGCCTCTCGATTGTAATAGCAAAATCGCATGGCTAGTAAGCCACGATTGCTACTACAAGAGCCGACCATTGGCGTCTGCAGGCATCATCCCGATACAACCACTTGAAGTCCAGTGATGTATAAATTTGCGAAACAAAAAAATGATGATCGCAATAAAAGAAAAAACAAAGAAATTCCACCACACTCAGGTCCCTACAGCACAGTATATGGTCCTAAAATACATTGCTGACCTACTGATAGACTGTTACCACAATGCATTTTCTAAATCTGCCAACTCTAAATGACTCAGTCAATGCCTGTTCCAAAAGACTGGCTAGACAATTACAGGCAAGATCACAAATGTATCTTTTACCTAGGAAATTACAGTGTACAGGCATCCATTTTCGATCGCAGATGTGTGCAACAAATCAGCAACCACAGCTCCATTAAAAGTGAAATAAGCAATATGAAAAACAACAGTAGCCTCTTATGTACATGTCTATACAAAGGGAATTATGAAAAGCAACAGGCTCCCTAGACAGAGTAAAGGAAATAGAGGGACTTATGTATATAGTCCAAGACAGAGTATTCAAATATACTTCAAAATGTTGTATACACAATAAAACAACTCCAAAATATCAAAGTATAATGCCATATCTGACACAAAGGGTGAATCTTGGCCTGCTCAGGGTGAGGGGCTTTGTCAGCCTGGGTTGGGACCAGAGCACCTGTGAATGGCTATTTTCTGAACACAAACTAGACATGGGAAGTAAATTTACCACTATTCTTACCCATTATTCCCACCTCCATAATATTCTCTGTCCACAACCTTTAATTTTCTCATCTTTCTTTGCTTTAGTTTGCCATCTTTCCACCTCTCCCTTTCAACTACCCTATCTGGGTCCTTTTGCAACTTTTGTTTTTTATCCCAGGGATCACCCTGGAATCCCCTACACTAACTTATGGTGTATACAACTACTACCCCCACATTTCCTGTCTCCAAACCTTTCCATTCCTTTTATTTTACCAATGTTTTCATTCTATAAACTTAATGGTAGCATTTAAAGTAAAACTCCAGCCAAATCCTTTCCCTGGTTCAGGTAACAAACATTATTTCTAAGCTTTCCATACTCTGTTTTGGCTAGAATTTCACTTTAAGATAGGTTAGAATTAGCAATGCCTAAGAAACAATTAGCAGGATGTGGAGTAGTGCACACAAATAAAAGCCACGCGGAAGCAGCGGGCACCACCAGAGCAGACATTTCTTCATCTTGACAGTTCCAACTTAAAAAGCAGGCATTTATATCTGATTGAGTACTTACTCTATGGCAGCTTTTTTCTGCAGCTTTTCCCTCTCCCATGTAGATAAATTAAGATCTCCACCTATAGTAAAAAAAACAAAAAGGAAAAACACAAAGTTTTAAACGCTGAAGAAAAAAAATGCCTGTGTATGCCCATTTTCTCCAATCCATTCTGCATAGTAAAAGAAAGAAAATTTGTGTTGTGGGTAACTTTACTTCAGAATCTTTTACAAAAAGTAGCCCCTTCTATCTTTCCAAATAAATTGCTTATACATACTATAGTGCACATGCCTAGCCAATGGGGGAGGAACAAAATGAAAAAAAAAAACCACCCCAAATAATATTGCTCACTCACCTCTAAGTAGATTCACAAAGTACAGCATAACAACTGCTATAATGGCACCTGTAAAAAAAAGTTTTTAAATCAGGGGACCTTTGACACCACGTCTTTCACATATAATTCTGGTTGTCGATTTGATAACCATTTACACCTTTAGCCATGTAAATCCAAGGATCCACACATTTTAGAGAATTCCTGATATGTCTATTTATTCATCTTTTCATACAAGATGAACATAATTTTCACCCAGGATTTGATCCAACTAAGATGCATGAATCTTGATTAACATGGTTAGCCAATCAAGGAATGGATTTATGAAATTAACACAAGGCAACTTGCACACCTCCCATACGGTTTCCTGTCTAAATTGGCCCCAGTATGCATGCATGAATGTGAGTAAGGGACCTTAGGATTGTACACCCCTTGAGGGCAGGATGTGATGTGACTGTACAATATACAGTGCCTTGAAAAAAATATTCATACACTTTGAACATTTCCCACATTTTGTTATGTTACAACCAAAAAACAAAATGTATTTTATTGGGATTTTAGGTGATAGACCAACACAAAGTGGCACAGAATTGTCAAGTGGAAGGAAAATAATAAATGGTTTTCAAATTTTTTTTACAAATAGAGATCTGAAAAGTTTGGCACGCATTTGTATTCAGCCCCCGAGCCAATACTTTGTAGAATCACCTTTCACTGCAAATACAGCTGCAAGTCGTTTTGGGAATGTCTCTACTAGCTTTGTATATCTAGAAGGTGAAATGTTTGCCCATTCCTCTTTGCTGTTCACAGACGCTCTCCATCCAATCTGACAGAGCTTGAGCAATTTTGCAATTTAAGTCTTGCCACAGATTCTCAATTGGATTTAGGTCTGGACTTTGACTGGCCCATTCTAACACATGAATATGCTTTGATCTAAACCATTCCATTGTAGATCTAGAGTCCTTGTCCTGCTGGAAGGTGAACCTCTGCCTCAGTCTCAAGTCTTTTGCAGACACCAACAGGTTTTCTTCTAAGGCTGCTCTGAATTTGGCTCCCTCCATCTTCCCATCAACTCTGACCAGCTTCCCTGTCCCTGCTGAAGACAAGTATCCCCACCCACACAACATGCTGCCACCACCATGTTTCACGGTAGGTTGGTTTGCAGTTGTGCCATGCTCTTTCCATTTTTGGATTAAACAGTGTGAGATGTTAGAAGCTTGGGATTTTTTTTTTTCTTTACAACCTAACCCTGCTTTAAACTTCACAACCTTATCCCTGACCTGTCTGGTGTGTTCCTTGGCCTTCATTAATGTTGTTTGTTCACTAACGTGCTCTAACAAACCTCTGACGGCTTCACAGAACAGCTGTAATTATCCTGAGATCATTTACTAGATGACTTCTGAAGACAATTGGTTCCACTAGATTTTAGTTAGGGGTATCTGAGTAAAGGGGGCTGAATACAAATGCACGCCACACTTATCAGATATTTGTAAAAACTTTTGAAAACCATTTATTTTCCTTCCACTTTACAATTATATGCCACTGTGTTGGTTTATCACATAAAATCCCAATAAAATACATTTACGTTTTTTGTTGTAAAGTGACAAACATTTGGAACATTTCAAGGGGTATGAATATTTTTTTCAAGGAACTGTGTTTATGTATACGTATACACACACACACACACACACACACACACAGTACATTGATGGTGCTATATAAGTACCTGTAATAAACAAAATAAAAATTTGCTTTGATGCTTTCTATATTTACTGAATTGATACGACTGTTAGCTGTGTGGATATTAATGTTGGGGTATGTTCGTGACTCATTAGAACTGAAGTAGCAGCTTCGATGAGCTGGGCAAAGTCTTCTATATTATAAAACAAGCCCAGCGTAATGAGACTACTACTAGTTATACCATGACCTTCAGAGACACAAATGATCTAGAATGTTGCCATCAAAGATTTTGACATTCACTAGATTTGTTGTGGTAGCTCAGAAGAAAAACAAAAAGAAAAAAAAAAGCTGTGAATAGAAACCAATCTAACATCAGCCTTTTAAGGCAAGCTTTGAAAATTAAAGCTAGTAGCCGACTGGTTGCCATGTACGACTGTTCTAGATTCCATCTACTGTAGTCTTTGTAAAGTCCCCTCAATGTGTATTTGTAGAAGACACCTAAGGCTCAAATGCCTAAATCCATTGCTTGATAAAGTGTATGGCTTTTCTGTATATAGCAACAGTGTAAACAGACTTACTCTATTACAACTTTATTTCATATCACAAATTCCACTTGCCAGCTTCAAGCTTTACTGCATTACTTTTTTCCTCTTGCATATAAAATGATTAAAATTTGTAGCGGACATGTAATTTTCCTAAAAATACTCATCAGAAACTAGGTAAGACCTTTGCTACCAAGAGGTTAATATAAAGTATGCAAGCTTGCTGGGGAAAACCAAGACTTACAGCAAATGCAAGCACTGAAAAAGACTTCAAGGAATAGGTAGCCATGGGAATCCAGGATGACACCAGCAACAATGGCAATAATAGCAAGACCAAGGTTCTGGATGGATTGCATACTGTGGGAAACAAAGGTGAGAGGTAATACAAGACAAAATGTGAATAATACGAACACCCTCAAAAGGTTAAACAATACCCCACCCAGAAAAGATAAACTACTTTCACCCTTGAAAGTGATATAATCAACAAAGAATTCTTTTCCTTTCCCCTCTATCCCTCTTCTCCACCAAAATTAAATATGTAATCTCAATTTCCCCGAATGCACATCTTACAACCACCAACATACAGTGCAAAAATAAATGAATGAAAATTATAATACAATAAATTAAAATAAATCAAATAAATAAATCAACTTAGTGTCCAAAAAATGTCCTTCTATATACAAGTCCAAAAGACTTTTTCTTTACTTCAATCACTTCTCCTTGTGATATTTTATATGAAATTTCCAATACGATAATCCAGTGGAACAAACCTCAAAAAAATATAAAATCGCAAATAGTGTATTATCTTATAACCAAAATGTATTTTTGGACTTGTATATAGAAGGACATTTTTTGGACACTAAGTTGATTTATTGATTTATTGATTTATTTGATTTATTTTAATTTATTGTATTATAATTTTCATTCATTTATTTTTGCACTGTATGTTGGTGGTTGTAAAATGTGCATTTGGGGAAATTGAGATTACATATTTAATTTTGGTGGAGAAGAGGGATAGAGGGGAAAGGAAAAGAATTCTTAGGTAATACAAGACAGACATGCAAGATTTGTAAACCTGGATAGATAAATAACTATGTAGGTAGTAACAAAGATACAGCTTGATCATGGCTGTATTTGTATTGCCCGACGCCCAGGATGTGTAGTTCCAGGCGCCCGGCAAGTAGTTTTTTTTTTTTTCTCTTTTAAATCTTTAGCCCTGCTGCGGGCAAGCAACAGGGCTCACCTGTCAAGTGGAAGCAGTTGAGCGGCTCAGCTGCTACATTCCACAGTGCTGGCCTTATCCCCCCCCCCCCCCCCCCCCCCCCACATACCTCCTTCCTGCCCTCTGTCTGCCGGGCTCCACTTGCCAATCTGCAGGCCTGGGACCAATTCAGCGGGTGCCAGTGTGTAGAGGAGAGGGGACAGGTCCACTCCCCTCCTCTTCTTGTCTTGATGCGGAAGTGACATTATGATGTCATTTCCGGGTCCCAGCTGACAGATTTCCCAGCCATCTTTCAGAAGACATAAAAAAATCATTTTTAGACCTTAAGATTACATTAAACCCCCAAAACATTAAATGTGTGCAAAAAAATGCAAATGGGGCCCTGGCAGCGAAAGGGATAAAGGATAAGCCTGACACTCCCCTTTCCTGATGAGCACCCAAGGTCTCTCCCCTCCCTGCTAGTAGTTTTTTTCAAAATTTCCACACCCCTGGTTATATTAGTGCAACCATTTAGAGTCAAACCCAACTTTTATAACTATTGTTACTGTAACCAATTCAGTATTCCAAATGGATCTGGTGGTGCTTTGGCTTATTAATTCATAAAATCCTTTACAATTTTGGCAGCGACAGCTGTTATGTATCTGAATAAGATTAATTTCATTGCCTCGGGACTAGTAAACAACCAAGTCCAGGCGTGGATGCTTCCAACAATGGCTCTGTCAGATTTTAAATGGCTGAATTCTCAATCAAGATCCCTAAAATCACTAAGGCCACTACAAGGACCATGAGTAAAAGCAGATATCTGCACAAAATATAGATGGGAAAAATCATACTTACAATCCATAAGCAGTACCCAGCTGATGTTCAGGAACCACAAATGCCACCATAGGCCACAAGGCACAGGCCAAAAGAGAATAGGAAATGCCCAGTAAACTCTGGAAAGACAGACATTTTTCAGAAAGACAGACTCCCAAAGCAGATCTTTCCTTTAATAAGTTCATGCCAGATATTACAATCCAAGGGGACAGCAGACCCACCCCTCCCAAGAACCTGGGGAGAGTGCAGCACTACAAAAGTTTTCCAAGCAGTGCTTCCACTGTGGCAGAGTAAACAATAACAGAGGCCATGGTGGAAGTGTCCTACTGCAGTGTTTCCTGGGAAAATGGATGGAGCTACACTTTTCTGTGTGTGCTGTCCTGAAATACGATTTGGGAAGAATGTATAAAACTAGACCTTTCACAATTCTAGGGCATGCTTGTCCTAAATATAGCCACCTGCTAGTAGTAATCATCTATGCAAAGTAGAAAACACTTCTAAAATACCAAATAAGGGGGGTGGGATGTATCTTTTGCAACACTTGGCGTGTCTTCTAGCAAGATTTACAAAAAAGGTTCCACACTGGATTTACAAAATTTTCAACTTGCAAAGCACACTGGCTCTTTTTTAGTGTATTTGCGGATATGCAGCAACTGTATAAACCTAAACTATAATCTCGGGCCTTTCCTTTTCCTGCTCTTTGAAAGTGATCACACCACAGGTCGGTAGTGAAGCAAATAAGTATTTGATCCCCTGCTGATTTTGAATGTTTGCCCACTCACAAAGAAATGATCAGTCTAAAAATCGAATGATAGGTGTATTGTAAACACAGAGACAGAATGACAACAAAAAAAATGTGTGTCTAACAAACTGATTTGCATGGTTCATGAGGGAAATAAGTATTTGATCCCCTATCATTCAGCAGGATTTCTGGCTACCAGGTGTCTTTCATACAGGTAACAAGCTGAGATTAGAAGCAGTCTCTTAAAGGGAGTGCTTCTAATCTCATTTTGTTACCTGTATAAAAAGACACCTGTCCACAGGAGCAATCAAACAATCAGATTCCAAACTCTCCACCATGGCAAAGACCAAAGAGCTGTCCAAGGATGTCAGGGACAAGATTGTAGACCTACACAAGGCTGGACTGGGCTACCAAACTATCGCCAAGCAGCTTGGTGAGAAGATGACAACAGTTGATGCAATCATTCGCAAATGGAAGAAACACAAAACAACTGTCAGTCTCCCTAGGTCTGGTGCACCATGCAAGATCTCACCTTGTGAAGTGTCAATGATCATGAAAACAGTGAGGAATCATCCCAGAACTACACGAGGATCTTGTCAATGATCTCCAGGCAGCTGGGACCACAGTCACCAAGAAAACAATTGGTAACACACAACGCTGACAAGGACTGAAATCCTGCAGTGCCCGCAAGGTCCCGCTGCTCAAGAAAGCACATGTCCAGGCCCGTCTGAAGTTTGACACTGAACATCTGAATGATGCAGAGGAGGACTGGTTGAAAGTGTTGTGATCAGATGAGACCAAAATCGAGCTCTTTGGCATCAACTGAACTCGCCGTGTTTGGAGGAGGAATGCTGCCTATGACCCCAAGAACACCATCCCAACTGTCAAACATGGTGGTGGAAACATTCTACTTTGGGGGTGTTTTTCTGCTAAGGGGACAGGACAACTGCACCGCATCAAAGCGACGATGAACAGGGCAATGTACCTTCAAATCTTGGGTGAGAACCTTCTTCCCTCAGCCAGGGCATTGAAAATGGATCATGGATGGGTGTTCCAGCATGACAATGACCCAAAAACACACGGCCAAGGCAACAAAGGAGTGGCTCAAGAAGAAGCACATTAAGGTCCTGGAGTGGCCTAGTCAGTCTCCAGATTTTAATCCGATTGAAAATCTGTGGAGGGAGCTGAAAGTTTGAATTGCCAAACATCAGCCACCAAGCCTTAATGCCTTGGAGAGGATCTGCCAAGAGGAGTGGGCCAAAATCCCTCCCGAGGTGTGTGCAAACCTGGTGGCCAACTACAGGAAACATCTGACCTCTGATTGCCAACAAGGGATTCGCCACCATGTACTAAGTCATGTTTTGTGAAGGGGATCAAATACTTATTTCCCTCATGAACATGAAAATCGGTGCATAATTTATTAGACATGCATTTCTTTTGAATTTTTTGTTGCTATTCTGTCTCAGTGTTACAATACACCTACCATTCGATTATTAGACTGATCATTTCTTTGTGAGTGGCAAACAATCAAAATCAGCAGGGGATCAAATACTTATTTGTTTACATTTTACATCTTTCCTGCACTGTAGCTGCAGACAAGGGGAAAGAATAAATATGGAAGGATATTGATTTAACATCTTTGCCTTAGAGCTATAAATGGTTATGCCTATGCTGCAAAGCACTAATGCAATTATTTACAAACTTAAATCAGGCAGATCCTCAAGTTACAGCACAGAGACCTAGGTCACTAGAACTAAAAACAAGGAAAGCATTTGGGATTCCTCTAGAACACTGGTGCCCAACCTGTGGCTCTTAAGCACTTTATGCTCTGCCCTTAAGGCCCCTGCAGACACTAATCTGTGTTTCCCATTCTTCTGTTATAGTAGTGATTTCTAGTAGCCTTGTACAATATGTCCCCAGTCTATGACCATCTCCTGAAGCATGTCTGCATTCTCTGACCATCTCTTGTATAATGCCCATAAAAACTGACTGACTATATCCTATTGTGTGTCTGTGGTTTGATATATTCACAGATTTTTGAATGCAGGCCTTTGATTATGTTGGGGGGGGGGGGGCCGCACTTCAGTCCCCCATATCAAGAAAGTTGACCACCACTGCTCTAGAAGCAAGGTGCATTCTGATTTTCATAACGGACCTTCTGAAAACTACATGTAATGGGGGGAATGATTAGGACTTTACAAAAACTAATGCTTGGGCTGCCTGCTTATAACAGTTCAAGCAGTATTCAACCCAAAAGAAAAACAAAAACTATTGCAGATTACCAATTCTGGGATGTGGTGGCTGAATTAGTTTTATCTTTAGCCTTCTATTTTCATCTGATTATCCGGCCAATATCATTGTTTTTCAAAAAGAACAAGCTCTCTTGCAGAAACATCAGTTACAGGGATAAGAAAAAACTCAACACTGACAGGGGTGCATATAATACATCCATTTATTTAATTTTTTTTTAAAACCTTTATCCCAAAAAGGAAAGAACAGTTTGCTGTAACTGCTTAGAAAATGTGAGCTGGACGTTTGCTTCAATTTGTTAGTGTATCTAAATCTACTAGTACATACAACACCCCCCTCCCCCAGATTTCAAATGCTGCAGTCTACTATGTCTCTGTGCTCCTTCATCCAGAGTAGGGGCACTCTAATACAAGTGGTGGGATCCTGGCCAGATCACCAAGTGAAGAAAGCCTAAAAAAAAAGGAAACTAATGTAACACCGCATCTATTGACTGGAAACCTGCAATATGTTACTTTTTTTTAATGAGCAGCATAAAAGTCATAATTTAAAGACTCTATTCAGTGAAGACATTAAATCCAACAAGTGGCACAGTCTTCCATTTCAGTCTTTGTTAAAGTATAGAAAAGCTCAAGTGGAAAGTAACCACCACAATGTTTACATTAGGCAATTTAGCTTTACTTACTTTGCCTAATCACATGGTAATGGTCACCTGAAGTCTAAGGGCTTGTTCCCACCAGGTCCATCAAGCTGCCATTTTCTGCAGACCCCCACATATGTATAGTGTGAACAGAGCCCACAGAAAATAATTTTCTTTGTGCCCTTTTTACAACATACGGGGGGTTGTGCACTCAAAACGTAGTTAAAATAGACAGTGTGAACAAGCCCCAACAAGCTGCTGCCTCTCAACCAGCTGACCTCACATAATGCAAACTTAGTAATAAGGAAACTGTGTGTGTACACCTTCCTTTGTGTTACCATTCATTTTCATAAGACCCCAACATACTATCACATGCATGGTGTGTTGCAATTGATAGGTCTGAATGGGCCCTAGGTATTTACATCTTGCAATGCCTATGTAAGATCAGTGTGATAGTAGCTGTGAAAACTGCAATATCTTCTTAGCGTTTCTCTGTAGGAGCTTTTAAAATAAATAGGTTACCAGCGGAAAACATTGCAGAATAGTAACAGAATAGACTAGAATAGGAGGCTTCAATGCCTCCTGACTCGACCAGAGTCGTCCGTTTTGCCGCAACGCTAACGCTCCCATTAGAACAGAACCATGTGCTGCAATGTACAGAATTGTCCAAGGCGTTTGGGAAGCGGTAAAAACGCTTCCCAAACGCCTCTCTGCCGCCTGCACACAACGCTAGTGTGAACATAGCCAAACTGCTTGTAACTTAAGCCTTCCACGGTTACTGTCAGATGCAGCAGGAAAGTACACAATATGAAGAGAAATATAAACAACCTCTCCTCTCCCTTACCATAGCTATCCAGGGATTCCAGAAGGTAAAAGCCAACATAAGGTGAGCAGCAAGCGTGCACACCACAGCACACATGACCCAGATGATGTTCTTCCCAATCCGGTCAACCACAAATCCAAACACAGGTGACAGCGGTGCTGAGATTATGTATACCACACTGTTAAAAGCAGAGAAACAATATATACTGTAACACTGCACAAATTTTTATTCAAAAAGGTTTATTAGGTTTTACACAAAATCAGGATATTGAAAAGGGTTAATATACAATCAGCCATATAAGACTGTTATAACAGCACCAGGTACAAAAGTAGTAACAGGGTATACAGCGTGACAACCCCCAATCAATAGATACAGCCTATGAGGAGCAATAAGCTTCCCATTCAAACACCATCAGGTGGATACATACATGAGGCTATCAGGGGAAAAATCAGAGAATCAAAGTATAGGCAAGAACCCCCCCCCCCCACCCCCCACTACACGTTGTCATAGTTCTCGCATAAGACAGTACCCTGCTAGTATAAGAAGCTGATGCTAGGATACATACAATTATTATTATTATTATTCTACAGGA